ATACTGTCTTGTGAGTACTGCTGTTGAATTAGCTTGTTTTTTGTCCTTTGTCTCACTATTTTATTGTTCCCCTTCCCTTCCCTAATTCAGATAAATGTATATACAATACCCAGGGTACCAAAATCAAATACAGTGATAATAGGGGATAAACCATAGGAACAAAAACACAAAAGAAGAAATCACATAGTACATTAAGAACAACAACCGAAAAATCTCTTGTTTGAATGACTTGGAGTTCATTTCACTTAGCATTATTGTATATTGGTCATATGTACAAAGGTATTGAGCTATTCTGCTCATTTGTGAGTACTATGCTAGACATATACTAATTATTACAAATGAGGGAAACTATGGGATCTATGTTTTTGGGTCTGGCTTACTTCACTTAAAATGATTTTTTTTAAGTCTTTCCATGTCCTTACAAGAGGGACAATGTCATTCTTCCTGATGGAAGCATAGAATTTCATTTTGTATATATACCACATTTTCTTGATCCATTCATCTACTGAGGGGCATCTGGGTTGGTTCCATATTTTAGCTATGGTAAATAATGCTGCAATAAGCTTAGTTGTATGGGTAGCTTTAGTATGGCCTTATTTGTGGTCATTTGGGTAAATGCCCAGAAGTGGGATTGCTGGGTCTTAGGGGAGCACTATGCTTAGTCTTTTGAGGAACCTCCACACTGTTTCCAGAGTGGTTGAACAAGTTTTCTTTATGTTCTTCAAATAAGTTCATAGCAGCTTGAATGTGGAAGCAAGTACAAAAGCAAGTACAAAAACATTGGACTTAGAACTATAATATTAGATAATAATACTTGTTTATTCCCTTTGAAAAGCTTAAGTCTCTAACAGTGTTTTATATTGTTTAATATACTTATTTTTATTTTTAGTGAATAAAGTATTTTGAATGAACATATGAAATAATACCTGTTTAATTGTATTTATTGATAGAAATAACTCATCAATTTATTTGAGAAGAGCTTACTACATAGCCCATGATGTGCTTGAACTTGTGTGCCTCTGCCATCTGAATTCTGGAGATTCCAGGTGTGCATCAACATGCACAGTAATAGTCTTTTAAAGACTATAGTTTCTCTGTTGACTTTTATGATTTTTTTCAAAGTACAATTATTCAGGATTTTATGTCTCTTGTTTTAAAATTTATTATTTTAATCTGAGGATTTTACTTTTTGAAAGCTCTTGTAGGATGTCCTGTTTGCTTGATGATTCCCAACAAGAATATATGGGATTCAGCATATTGGGTATATTTATAGGTAAGGTAAAAGGATATACAATAGTATCAGCAAGGAAAAAGGCATAGGTAGGGACTGGAGAAATCCATGTACATGAAACTCTCTTTTCACGACAGGACCTCTTGGAGCCTGTTTCTTTCTTTAGTGGTAATAATCAATTATTTTCCAATCCTTTTCTTTCTTCCTTTTTTTGAGATTATGAGTAATATCACTTTTTTAATTTCTAAGAGTTTGAGGAATCTTTAGGGTTTTATAATGATAGACTCTGTATAATCTAGGGTAATTGCCTTCTTTCTTTTCTATTTGTATCCTTATTTCTTTGGCCTATTATATTATTATTATATTCCTATGGATATGAATTCAAGAACTAGATTGAATAAAAATGAAGAATAGATATCTCTGTCTCATTGCTGACTTTAAGGGAAATGTTTTGTTTTTCTCCAGTTAATGGTTGGTTTAGGTTTGTCACATAAAGCCTTTATTATATTAAGTTGTATTTCTTCTGTTCTTAGTTTGTTCTAGGCTTTTCTCATGAAGAAATATTAAACTTTGTCAAAGCACTTTTTTTCTGTGTGCCATGAGATGATCGTGTGCTTTATTTTTCTTTTGATTCTGTTTATGTGCTGGGTTATAATTATTGATTTGCATTTGTTAAACCATCCTTGCATCCCTTGATTGAAACCAGTTTGATGATGCTGTGTGAAGGTATAGTGGTGTCGAATTCAATTTGAAGTATATTAGTAAGAATTTATGGCTATACATATCAAGGAAATTGGTGTGTGTTTTCTTTTATTTTTTAAAATTTAATTTTATTATTAAGGTGATGTACATAGAGGTTACAGTTACATACGTAAGGTAGTGAGTCCATTTCTTGTCAAACATCGTTAGCCCCTCCTTCCCACTTTCCCTTTCCCACAATGGCCACCTTCTCCTCAAGCCCCCCCACAAGTTGTAAAGTTCATTTTGCATGTTTTCCTTATTATTATTTTGGTATATAGGCAAGAGAGATTCATGAATGTAATTAGTGGTATTCCTTCTCTCTATTTTGAGGAACAATTTGACGAGCATTAGTCTTATTTCTTTCTTAAAAGTCTGGTAGAATTTAGTGGCTGAATTCATCTAGTCATGGAGTTTTCTTAGGAAGTAAATTTCTTAGAGACTGCATTTTCCTACAACAACTCAGGTAAGTAATATGTGTATAAAAATTGTTTATTTTTTCAATTTTATCATTTATTAGAATATAATTTTTCAGATGTATACTAATTACTGCAAATAAGGGAAACCATGGGAACTATATTTCTTTGGGTCTGGCTTACTTCACTCAATATGATTTTTTTCCAGGTCTTTCCATTTCTTAACAAATGGGGTGATATCATTCTTTCTGATGGAAGCACAGAATTACACACACACACACACACACACACACACGCACGCACACACACACACACATTTTTGATCCATTCATCTACTGAGGGGCATCTGGGTTGGTTCCCTATCTTAGCTATGGTTAATAATAATGCTGCGATAAACATAGTTGTGCTGGTAGCTTTAGTATGGCCTTGTTTGTGATCATTTGGGTAAATGCCCAGATATCTAGGAAAATCTTACCAGATGAGCAGAAAAGCTCAAAAGCTATGTACATATAATCATATAAAATGATGCTAAGCAAAATGAACCCCAAGATATTGACACAAGAAGATTTTCATGGTTGTTATTTTTAATGTTCTATGTGATTTTTTTTGTTTCCTTTGTATGTTCTTCCCCCTATAGTATATCCCCTGTTGTCACTGTATTTGATTTTGGTACCCTGAATCTTGTATACATATTTATCTAACTTGGGGAGGGAAGGAGAATAACAAAATGCTAAAACAAGAACACAGGATAGCACATTGCAACAATGATACAAGACACTGTGTTGGAAATGAACCTTACAACTTGGCGGGGAGGGCGTGAGGATTTGGAGAGGTGAGGAGGGAAGAGATAGTGGGAGAAAAAAGAGAGGGTAACAACAGTGATGAACAAGAAAGGTACTCATTACTTTACTCATGTAACTGTAACCCCTCTGTACATCTTTACAATAAAATTAAAATAAAAAGAAAAACATATAACTTTTCAAAGTGTTCCCTGATGACCTTGTGAATTTTGCTAGGATTTGTTATGATATCCACCTTTTTGTCTCTACTTTCATTAATTTGATTCTCCTTTCTCTTTTGCTTGGTTAGATTGGCTAACGTTTATAATTTTGTTTTATCTTTTCAAAGAACCAAGTATAGTTTCATAGATTCTTTGTGTTCCACTTCGTTACCCTGATTAATTTCAGTTATTTCTGCTTACTAATTTTGAGTTTGGCTTGTCCTTGGTTTTCGAGCTTGAGGTACATAATTAGGTTATTTTTTAGTATTATTTATTTATTTATTTGCTCTCTGCTGCTTGATCCATCTCCCTAATCATTTCTAGCCTATGTTATTCTTTAAATATACTCTTGTAGTTTTGTCCAGGTTGATCTGATCCTCCTATTTATAATATTTTCTTTTTTTGGGTCTGGTCGTGGGGCCTGAACTCTGGGCCTGGGTGCTGTCCCTCAGCTCTTCAGCTCAAGGCTAGCGCTCTACCACTTGAGCCACAGCGCCACTTCTGTTTTTTTTTTCTTTTTGCTTATGTGGTACTGAGGAATTGAACCCAGGGCCTCAGGGATGCAAGGCAAGCACTCTACCACTGAGCCACCTTCCCAGCTCCTATTTATAATTCTTATATAACTGGAAAGTTTTATTGATTGAGATGAGAGTCTCAAGAGTTTTCTTGTCTTGCTATTTTCCCACTTGCTACCTGCCAAAAAACTGGGATTATTTATAAATGTTAGCTACTTGGCCTAGCCCACCTTAACTGTTTTTTCTCTTTAAATTAATTTAGGTTTACTTGAAGGTGGAATGAGGGGAGTCAGTGGTTCCTGTTCTTAAAGAAACTTTTAGATATTTTAACACTTACAGAAAGTGTCTTTCTAATCTGAATACAAAGATGATATTAACTTTGTTAGTGGACTTAATGTTAACTTACAAGACCAGTGAACATTACTAGTTTTCATTTAAGTTTGAGTGGAGAGCTCTTTCTTGGAGTATAAGCTATGAAAAGGTGAGGAGACACTGGTTGATAGAAGCAGCATCAGAGTGATCTGTCTTGCAAGGTGAACTTTTCTATGTATTTATTTTCATGTTTACATTTCTTCTGTCTTCTTAGCAGTATTTTGGGGTGGGTTTGAAAATATACATATTGTCAACTCCAGATATTATTCTGTAAATCAGTAAAATATAGGTTTATTATAAACATATTTTCAGCTGTTGTTGGCAATTTTATAACTATAATTTCTCATAAGATTTGTTACTTAATTTTAGTATCTTGTCAACATGAGTTTTATCATTAAATGTAGTATTTAAAAGCACATAATGAACTCTTAGACTAGAATTTTAGTTTTAGTAGCATAGGCATTGAGCCTGTTACATAATAAACCTTAGGTCTTTGGTTTCTTCATGATAGATACAATAATGCCTGTCTTCAAAAAATATAAGTAAGTTGGTATCTGTAAAGTGCTTAAAGTAGAGTTTGGCTAGATAAATATTTTGTTAAATGTAGAAAAATATAAAAACATGCGCTATGAATTTATCCCAAATAACTATTTCTCTAGAATTATTATGATATATATTTGAATTCCTTGAATAACCATGTTTGTGTCTTTCTGTTTAATTTTTTATAGCCTTTCGTGAACCTCATTTTTATTACCAGTTCACAGTACGATATCATGCTGCTCCCTGCAATAGTATCTATAATATTTCTTTTGAGAAGAAACTTCTTCAGATTTTAAGCAAACTAGTTCTTGACCTTTCATGTGAAATTTCTTTACTTAAGTCTGAATGCCATCGTGTTAAAATGCAAAGAGCTGGTTTGCAAAATGAATTGTTTTTTACATTTTCAAGTAAGTATATAATATATTTTAAAGCAAAACAAGTTGAATATCCATAAACAATTTTAAACACGTTGTGATCATCAACAACAGTTTAATATATATATATATATATTATAAATATCACGTATTTCCTATTCTTTATCTTGGCTTAGTGCTTACTCTCCAAATAAAATCCTACTGACTTATGAACTTAATGAAAAAAGTTTATTTCAGTACCTTGCTACGGTGACTTACTGTGGAATGGAACTTAATGCAAAATCTGTTATACTATTTAGTTAATAAGGATTTAATTTGTAAATTCATCTAGTTACAATTATATTGTATACCCTAAAATAATCAACTTATTGGGATTTTCTTAATGATGTACAGTGGAGGACCATTATTTTCTAGAAATCAAAGAATTGGGCTTGGTCGCAAAGGGCTGGAGATTTGTAAGTATTCTGTCATGAAGTATCTCAAAAATAGCCACTCATTTTCTACTGGATGCCCCTCACATTTTATCTCAAATACTATTTTACTCTTATTTCTTTCCTCCTCCTCTTTTGCTTTTCTTAATTTGTCTTCTATCAGTATTTGATTATATTTGCCAGTTGCCTAGATTTCTCTTCCTTCTTTATCTCTTGATCTGTTTCTCTTTTTCTTCTTGGTCATTTATGATCAAATCCAGAAAGATAATTGAGAGACATCTTACTACTGTCTCATCTTCCAGAAAAATGTTGAGAATTTCTCCATTAGCCTTTGAAACAAATTTTAAGAAATCAATTCTTTCATTACTTTCCTGGGACCCATTATTAATATTCAGTGGAGTTATGTAATCTTTCCTTGGTCTTTTTAAATAAGTGGACAAGTTCTTAGCAAACTTGCAATTCCTTTTCAACTTATAAAGAAAAGAGACGAAATCCAATAAAAATGATGTTATTTTTGTGCTGGTACTGAGGCTTACACCAGAGCCTCAAGTTCTTGCTTGTAAGTTTTTTACTCAAGGCTAGTGTTTTAATATGTTGGCCATACCTCCACTTCCAGAAATGTAAACAAATATTCTCTTTTTAAAATTGAGTTATACATCTCTCTCTTTTTCTTTTATTTTCTTTTATGATACTGGTTTAATCTTGGGGCCTTGTGCTTGCTAGGACTGTGTGCCACCATTTGAGCCATGTCCTCTTTCTTTTGGTTTATATTTCAAATAGGGTCTCCTACCTGAATATACCTTCAACTTCTATTTTTCTGGCTTTGCCTGTGGAGTAGTTGGGATTACAAACATGCCACCATGCCCAACTTGGATATTGTGTATCTTTTGTTTCTTAGTTGTAAGTGTTCTTTATATATTTTGGATACTAGATCCTTATTAGATATATGATATACAAAACCATTTATCTTTGATGCAGGTTAACTTTTCACTTTCTTAATAGTTTACATTGGAAAGTTGTTTTCTATGTTGTTGACATCCATTTTATTTTTTGTTCCTTTGGTGGTCTTGGTGTTGTATCTAAAAGCCAGTATCATCAAGATTTACCCCTTTTTGTAATTTTAACATCTTCTGTTTATCATGGTTCTTGGAAAGCCACCAACTTAAGTTACATATAATCTGATTGTGATGGGATGTTTGTATGTCCCTTCTAACTTTAGGAATTTTTTTCCTCACCTCTCTTTGAGTTGTTTAAAAACAGTTAAGACTTTGAAGAACAGGCAGAGATTTTTTTTTTGCCAGTTCTTGGGCTTGAACTCAGGGCTTAGGTGCTGTCTCTGGAATCTCTTTGTGCTCAGGGCTAGTGCTATACTACTTGAGCCATAGTGCCACTTCTGCCTTTTTCTGAATATTGGAGATAAGAATCTGCCTGGGCCAGCTTAGAACCGAGATCCTCAGATCTCAGCTGCCTGAGTATGTAGGATTACAGGAGTGAACCTGGCCAGAAATATTTTTTTAATGGTTTGAAACCAGTCTAGGCAGAAATCTCTAGTTAACCAGAGAAAAGCTGGGCTGGAGGCGTGGCTCAGATGGTTAGAGTGTTAGTCAATTAAACTATGCAAGAACACAAGGCACTGAATTCAAGGCCCAGAAGTAGCAAAGAAAAACAAGCAAAAAAACCCCACAAAATGTACACATCAAAAAGTGATAGCTATTTAGCAAATGTTACTTACTGTAGAAAAAAGGAAGCCAGGACAGGCAAATAGATGTAAAGAACCCATGCTATATGAGATCCATAGGACATTGCCAACAATTAACAACCACATATTTTCAGTGACACATTAACCACATTTACTTAAAAGCTACATAAAAGTAAAACACCTGAATAACTATTATTTACTTATGAATCTAATACAGTTTTAAATGAAAGTGGAATCACCTTAATAACTAATTGGATTTTTATAGAAACCACTATGCTCATTAAACTCAGTTAATTTAAGAAAACTTACACAAGTATTTTCCCTTAATCCACTAATTCTGTTGTTTAAGAGTTGTACTACTTTTCAGGTTACATGCTTCAGTAATCACCCTGTTTCTGTTTCCTAAACAGCTGAGGCTGCAAAGAGTTACTACCATGACACATTTAAAACCTTTTCAGGAGCAAGAGTCAGAAATATGAACTCAATAGTTTTATAAGAATGATAAACAAGCCAGGTGTCAGTGGCACAAGCCTGTAATCCTAGCTACTCACTAGATTGAGATCTGAGGATCATGGTTCAAAGCCAGCCTGGTCAGGAGTCAGTCTGTGAGACTCTTATCTCCAATAACTACCAAAAAACCAGAAATGAAGTTGTGATTCAAGTGGTAGAGTGCTAGCTCTGAGCAAAAAAAGCTCAGAGACCATGGCCAGTTGCTGAGTTCAAACCCTAGGACTTGCACACACACATACACATACATGGTTAAAATATTTACTGGTTTTGGTATATTTTCTTATGGTTTTGTATTTTGGGGCATTTTTCACTACACTTGCTTATACTACTTCCATAGCATCTGTATACATGAGGAATTTTTATTCTACTCTGACATATTTTGGTAAAATACTGAGCATTACTGTATTTTCATGATGATGGGATTTTTGTTCTTATGTTGTCCTTGTTGACCTTGCCCTTGTTGTGTATTAATGTTGTGACCCAACTCCTTGCACTGTAATGTATGAACATCTATACCGATTATATGACAGGCTGAATTACATTGTGGATCTGCATTTGTGGAACAAACAAACTTTGTACCTTTGTATCATCAGTTAAAATTTCTCTTCATGCTATCTTTTTTCATATCTGTGGCTTGAACTGAGCTATCAGCAAAACCATTAATGAAAGTTAATGAAAGTTCTACTCACCTGGCAGTGTAGAACACTCTTCTGATTTTGAAGTGTTACTATATTCTCTTTTTTGTTTCACTCTAGTGTGAGTTCTTTCATGTTGGTAAAAGGAAGTTAATTGATGGACGGTTATCCCTCATGAAGTACTTCTGTACATAGAGTTACTCTCCAGTGTGAATTATTTCATGTATTTGGAGGCAATGAGAATAAGTGAACACTTACACAATGCTTACCATCTGTAAGCTTTCTCTCCATTGTGAATCCTTTCATGTGTTTTAATGAAAGCATAATAATTGAAGGCTTTCTCACATTGTTGGTACACAGTTTTACTCCACTTGAAGATAACATGAAAGAGTGAGTACTTTTCCCACTTATGGATAACACCCATAAATATTCTCTCTAGTATAAGATTTTTCATGTCTTTGAAGGACATTGGAATTAAAGGAATGCTTTCTCAGTTGCTTACATCCATAGTTTCTATCCAGTGTGATTCTTTTTGTGGGTTTTGATGGAATTATAATAAATAAGGACTGTCTGACAAAACTGAAATGTATAGGGTTTCTCTTTAGTATGGAGAACTTTCATATCTTTGAAAGTTGGAATTAAATGAAGACTTTCCCACATGGCTAAAATTCATAGTGTATGTCTCCAGTATGATTACTTTCATGCATTTGAAGGAAAGTGAAATTAATGAAATCTTTTCCACATTGCTTACATACATACAGTTCTCTCCAGTGTGATTTTTTTTTCATGAGTTTGAAGGCCACTGGAATTAGTGAACTCTTTCCCGCAGTGTTTATATCTGTAGAGTTTCTCTCCAGTGAGACATTTTTCATACCTTTAAGGTCAGTGAACGTAAATTCACATTGCTTATTCAAATTGTGTATGTTTCTCATGTACTAACCTGCTTTTGATAGGTCCAAGATGTTTTCCCTCATTCTGTAAACTTTATCATTTTCTACTATAGTAACTGTACCCTAGTTCCAAAATGTTTATATGTTTTTTTTCATACTCTGGAAAAATAACGTATTTTCTGGAATATAGTATAGGTATTGATATATTCTTAAACTTCTGTTAACATTTACTAATTAAAATATCTGTACCATGTGCTATTTTGTGAGATTAATTTCTTTTTTGATTTTTTTTAACTGATATGTAACTCTTAAGATTCTCTTTATGTTTCTTTGTGAGTTTTGGTAGATGATGTCTTTTAAGGAACTTAATTGATTTCTAACCTAATTTTTACATTTCTTCTTTCTTGAGTTAAAATATTCAATTTCCCAAATGAGTCTCAATTATTAGATTTACTTATTTTCTAATTTTTTCAGTGCTATAATTTCTCCGTTATTTTACTTTATGCTACAAATACTGATAAATGGGCTTTTCACTTATTTTGCTAAAGGTACTTTTGTTGATGCTTTATATATAATGTATTTATGTTGTTTAATAAATGGATTACTAATTTAGTTGTGCTATGATTGGAGTATATATACTGGGTGAATCTTCCAACCTCCTCCTCTTCCTCTCTCTCTCTCTGCTTTCTCTTTCTTTCATTTTCCTTTTTGTGTTTTTGCTGTTTGACCCAGGGCCTCATACTTATGAGGTAAGCAGCGTACCATGAACCTAGTCCTTTTGGTTTTAGTTTTTGAGACAATACATGGCCAGCCTCCAGCTCAAGATCTTCCTGTCTCTGCCTGCTGACTAGCAGGCATTAACAAACATTAGCTATAGGTATTAGCATTTGCTATCATTCTTGTCCTTTTTTTCCTTTTTTTTTTTTTTTTGGTTGATCGTGGGGCTTGAACTCTGGGCCTGGGCGCTGTCCTGTGCTCCTCAGCTCTAGGCGAGTGCTCTACCGCTCTACTGCTTGCGCTACAGCACCACTTCCGGTTTTCTAGTGGGTTATTGGAGGTAAGGGTCTCATGGACTTTCCTGTCCGGGCTGGCTTTGAACCATGATCCTCAGATCTCAGCCTCCTAAGTAGCCAATACTACAGGTGTGAGCCACCAGCGCCCGGCCTTTTTTCCTTTTAAAGACAAACATTTTTATTTTGTGCTGGTTCCAGGGCTTGAACTCATGGTCTGAGCACTGACCCTGAACTTTTTTGGTCAAGGTTAGCATTCTGCCACTTGAACCACAGCTTATTTTGGTGATTGATTGAACACAAGAGGCTCATAGACTTTCCTTCCCAGGCTGGCTTCAAATTACAGTCTTGAGATGTTAGCCTCCTGAGTAGCTAGAATTAAAGGTGTGAGCCACTGGTGCCTGGATCTTTTTGCATTTTTATTTTTACCTCTATGTTTCATGCCTGCTAACTTGACCTATCCTCTCTGATTTACTGGTTGCATTTTTACATGTGTGCAATGAATAGGATCACTGTGTCTACCTTTCCTTTTTATATTTGTCTGTCTTCCTTCCCCTTGATGCCCCACCCAACAATAGTTACAGTTTTCTGGTATTCATTCAATTTTAAGTTGTTCAAAAGAGTTATACCATTAGAATCCTCCCCTGTGTATACCCTGCTGTGGTCAACTTGTTTATATACATTTGTATATATACGTATACTCTTGAATATGTTTTCATATATGCTAATAATTTATAACAAACTTCTACATATTTCATGTAATTTTTTTCCAGGTCTATCCATTTCCCTGCAAAAACGTAATTCTTCCTAATGGATTAGTAAAATTCCATTGTTTGTATTTATCCCATTGAAAGGCACTTGGGCTGTTTCCATAACTTGGCTGTGGTGAATAGTACAGCAATTAACATGGATATACAAGTGTCTTTACTGTATCCTGATTTGTAATTTTTGGATAAATGCCTAAGAATGGTGTCACTGGATCACAGGGTAGTTTTCTATGTTCACCTGCCTTCCATGGTGGATGCAATCATTCATATTCACACCAACAGTATAACAGGGTTTCTCTCTCTGTGTTTGCCAGCATTTGTTGTTTGTATTCTAGATGATGACCATTCTTATTAGGATGTGATGAAATCTCAAGGTTGTTTGGATTTTCATTCCCTTTATGGCCAGAGATGCTGAGCATTTCTTCCTGTCTATTGGCCATTTTTTAGTTCTTCTGAGAAGTCTCTCTTTAGCTCCTTTTCCCATTTAATATTTGGATCATTGATTCTTTCAGGGTTTAGTTTCTTGTTCACTCTGCATATTCTGGATGCTAGGTCCTTGTCAGATGTATAGCTGGCAAAGATCTCCCATTCTTTGGCTAGTAATTAAGTTCTTTGCTATACAGATACTCTTAGCTTGATGTAATCTCATTTATCTTTTTTTTTTTTTTTTGGTCAGTCATGGGTCTTGAAATCTGGGTTTGGGTGCTATTCCTCAGCTCTTTAGCTCAAGGTGAGTGCTCTACCGCTTGGGCCACAGTGCCACTTCCAGTTTTCTAGTGGTTTATTGGAGATAAGAATCTCACAGACTCTCCTGCCTGGGCTGCTTTGAACCTGATCCTCAGATCTCAGCCTCTCCTGAGTAGCTAGGATTACAGGTGTGAGCCACTAGTGCCCAGCACTCATTTATCAATTTTGTCTCCAGTTTTCTGAGCTTCTGAAATTCAGGATGTTCCTGCCTATACCATTGAGGTCTTTGATCCATTTTAAACCTATTTCAGTACAAGGTGACAGGCAGGAATCTAGATTAATTCTAATGCATATGGAGGGCTAGTTTTCCCAAAAACATTTGTTGAAGAGGCTCTCTTTTTTTCCAACGTATATTTCTGACCTTGTCAAATATCAGATGGGCTGTAGGAACATGAGTTTATTTGTGAGTCTTCTGTTCCATTGGTTTTTAGGTCTGTGTTAGTACTAAACTGTTTTTATTTCTATAATACTGTGACTCTGTAATAAAGTTTGGAGTCACATTATGATTTATTTTATCCAAGATTGCTTTGGCTGTTTGGAGGTGGATGGTGGGGGGGGGGGGTATTGTGTTTGCATATGATTTTTTTTCTCTTATCTTGGTGAACAGGAGTATTACATTGAATTTGTAGATTACCTTTGACAATATTTTCATTTTTACTATGTTAATACTGATAATCCTTGAACATGTTCTTTCTGCTTCTTAGTGTCTTCTTTATTTCTTCAAAGTTTTGCAGTTTTCACTGTAGTGCTTGGTTACATTCATTTTTCAGGTGTGTTTTGAGGTTATTTTAAACAAATTTGTTTTCCTGATTTCCCTCTATCTGCTAATTGTTGGTATAAGAAAAGCTACTGATTTTTGTGGGTTGAATTTATATTCTGTTGTTTGATCCAAAGTATTTATCAGCTCTGGGTGCCTTGGTGGAATCTGTAGGGTTCTTTGGATAGAGGGTCATATCATCTGCAAATAGGTAAAGTTTCACTTTTTTCCTCCCTGTTTGATTCTCTTCTATGTTATTTTCTTGCCTTATTGCTCTGTGTTATACTTAAAGTATTATACTTAAAAGGAGTGAACTTAAAAGGTGTGAACTTATAAGGTTTTGAACTCAGTAGGTAGCTTAAACTGACCTTGAACTCTCAATCCTCCTTCATCCCAATGAAGCACAGCTATTTTCCAGCTATATAAGAGGCTTACATTGGGTAGATGATGGTTCTAGTCCAACCCAGGCAATAAAGTTCTCAAGACCATCTCAACAGAAATAAAGCTGGGTGTTATGGTGCACTTCATAAATCCCAGGAACAACAGGAATTTTAAATAGGAAAATGATAGTCTAAATTCCTAGGGAAAAAGCAATACCACCTTATCTCAAAAACAGCCAGAGAAGAAAAAGGTTGGAGATGTGGCTCAAGCAGCAAAATACCTGCTTTGCAAGTGGAAAGCTCTTAAGTTCAAATCTAATACCACCAAGAAAAAGAAAAAGGTTTTATGGAAATTATATTTTGAAATAATTCTTAGCAAAATTACAACTTAAGTCTTTTACATAGAATAAACATAAAAATGATGTAGGACATATAGAACAACTAATGAGATATAAATATGGATAGAGTTATGCAGAAATAAAATTGTCAAAATAGGTAATAGTAATAACAGTATAGATGGTTTTGTTTATTATTCTAATAATATTTTCAAAGCTTTAAAAGCCTATTGTTTTAGAAAGTAGAAAGTAAATTTTAAGATGATATTAAATATATGCCCCTGTTTATTAGTGATAAATATAAGGCTGCAAGTAAGATCTTTTTCTATATTTTGATATACAGTAGAGATTAGCTAAAGAATTTTGAGTTATATTGTTGAATTTAGAAGGATTTATTAATGGAAGTTTTTAAAGATGCATTTTGGATCTTATTCCTGATTTTCAAGTCTTAGTAATAGAATGGAAAATTTTTTCAGATGATCTTACAGAGATACTGCTCATTTCTACCTTGCTAAATCCATCTGCTTTTCTTTTTTTTTCACTTCATACCATAAATATATAGAATAATCCCTGGCACATAGTTTTCTTCTGGAAATTGTAAAATAAATGTATATATTCATGCATTAAAATGTTTAGCATTTCAGTTACCGTAGCAACTGCCATTGTTCAGCCTCATTTCTATTTCAGTGTTATTACCGTAGTTTATCTACAATAGTTTATCATTTGGTGTACAGAGATTTGAGTTGGCCTAGTGACATACAATACTGTATGGACAAAGATAAATAGGGAATTTTATGAATACACACATAAATATATGTGTTATAAAAAGTGATAAAAAGTTATAAAATGTTTTATAAAATAAAAGGAGACATACAATAATCATGAAATTTAATTTTTGTAAGACAAAATTTATGTAAGACAAAACAAATATTTGAATTTTGCTGAAGCTATTTAGCACTAGAAAAAGTTGCTTATATTCTTAGTACAAGAAAATATTAGATAAAAGATGTTTCCTTTTTCAACCAATTTAAATTTATGATATAGTATTTAGAGCCATGAGAAAATATAATATATATATTTTTAGTTTCATCTCTAGACACTGAAAAAGGACCCAAGCCATGTACAGACCATCAGTGTGAATCTTCCAGAAGACTGTCTAAGGTATGTTAGGTATCACTGGAGAAAGAAAAAAAAAACTTGAATGAATATGCTCAGTGTGTAAGTAAGCACCTTAGGTATTTGTAAAATAAATCAAACCCCAGAATTAGGGATTTCAAAAATAAAAGTTAACCCAACAAAGAAGAACTTAATATAATCAATACTTAGTACTTTCAAACTTAATATTTTGTAAATGAGATGTGGAGGATAATTTATTTGGTCTTATTTGCTGTTACTCATTCATTTACATTAATCAGAACAGATCGTGGCTGGAATTTCTAATAGATGTTTGTATTAGTAACCTTATGTCAGCACCAATTTTTGCAAGTTTTTTATTAGTTTATAGCAGTGTTTAATTGATTACATGGGGATTTTATGTAAACCCTTATGGCATCTACAAATAGAGACAGTATTAACTTCTTTCTAATTGAAATGTCTTTTATTTCTTTATCTTATCTATACTATCGAATGGCTGTCATATGAGTGAGCATCTTTTTCTTGTCCATATTCTTAAAGGGAAAAAACTTAATTTTTCACCATCACATCTGATATTAGTTCTGAGTAAAACCAGATGTCTTTTATTAGAATGAGAAAGTTCCCTTCTATTGCTCCTTTATATTTTGAATTATAATGCTTTTTCTGATTTTATTGAAAATAACATATCTAAATTATATTTGTTCCTGTTTTATTACAAGTAATAGTGAAAAATTTCCTCTTTATCCTTTATGCTATATTATTTGAGATATATGTAATAAAATCTGTAGCCATGTTTTAAAACTGCTACAAGCAAAAGGACATAGGGCATATAAATTAGCATTTTAAGTTAGAAATCATATAGATAATTTTAGATTAGCATATAGCTATAAGAATAATTCAGAGGATTTTGTTGTACATTTTGTATTCATATAGTCCAACACAATTTAGAATATTGATATTAGCAATATCAATATTGATATTTAGCTTTTCTCAATTTATTTGTATACATTGTGTATGTCAAGTTCTACACAATTTCATCACCTGGCTAGGATCATATATCCACCCCTGTATTCCAAATGCAAAATGGTTTCCTACCATCGAAATGCCTTGTGGTGTTTTGTTGTTGTTGTTGTTATTGTTTAGATACAGCCATACCCTCTGTTCCTGATTTTCTGCCAGAGACTCCTAATGCTTGAGACTCCTAATTCTTTACTGCACTTCTAAAATTGCATTCTTAGAAACTTTCCTAGATATTGACCCAGATTCAACATTTGTTAGCAGTTTATTTCCATTAGGATGTCAGGTAGTATAACAGGTTGTTTGACCTATTGAAGGACCAATTTGTGTTGCAGTTTAAGCTTCTGTAAACTTTTATGTATACGTTTTTATGGAAAAGAAAATTGGCCATTAATTTTTTATTGTGGTATAATTGACTTTACTATCCTCCAAGCCATGTATGAATAAGCACTTTTTCCACATCTTTATTGTTATTTGGCGTTATTTATGTCTAATTTATGACTTTAGTAAATGTATAGTAGAATTCCTTTATGATTTTAACTTACATTTCTATAAAGGATAATGAAATTAACCATTTTTAATGTTCATTACCACCTATACATCTTTTGTTAATCTGTTAATATATTTTGGCTGATTTTCTACTTGTCATTTATTTCATAATTACCATACAGTTTTTTTTGTAAATTCTAGATAGAAGTACTTTTATAATAGACATTTGTAAATACTTTTTAGATTCTAGCTGACTTTATTTTTTACTACTGTGTATTTTTGCAGTCAGTTTAAGATTTTTATGAGATCAGTTATACAAGTTTTCTCTCTTTTGAATGTGATTTCTTTGCATAGCTCTTCCCTATTTTTTTTTTCAAGTTTTACATTTCAGGCTAAGTCTGTGGCAGCTTTAGTACTGACAGTCCATAGAGACAGGAGGCATGGAAGGCATGCAAGAAGCAATATTGTTAAGCTTGTATGGAAAAGAGTTGAGAGGGGCAACATCTATCTGAAAGTACCTTTAATAGGAATTCAGGGGTAAATACACAAGCAAAAGACAAGAGAGAACTTTATAGGGTCATTTGAATGTCACTAGGAATTTGAGTGTCATTAGGTTGCAATAACAAGAAAGGAAGGATACTTGTAGCAGGAATCACATTGATGGACCTGGCTTCCTAGGTGGCCTTACAACCTGTTTTATGGGCAATGTGGGTGTCAGGAAAATATGAATTTTAAAATTTTGTAATATGCTTTTCAATCTCTGTATATTTTGACCATATATATGCTGAATATTTTTTCGTTTTCTGTATCTGTCTTTATGCCAATAGCACATTGTTTTCATTACTTTATCTTTAAAATAAATTTTGAAGCTAAAAGTATGATTCTTCTAACTTTATTATTCATTGTTAGGTTTGCCTTATATAGGGTTTCAAGAGATTGCATATGAATTTTAAGATGAAGTTTCTCATTTCTAATTTTTGATAGATTACATTAAATCTGTAGATACCTTTGGTTCAAATTCATATACTAATATTAAAAAGTTCCAATCAGTGCACAGTTTTCAGCAATATTTTGTAATTTTCAGTGTACAGATTTTTCACGTTATTGGTAGCTTTCTCCCTATGAATTCAGTTCTTTTGGACTTTTGCTCTTAATTTCCTTCTAGAATATGTTTAAAGTATGGAAAAGTAACCAAAAGTTTGTTTTTAATTTCTATCCTGTGACTTTGGTAAATTCATTTACTATAGCTCTTTTTTTGGTGTGGATCTTACAGGTTTCCTACATATATGATCCTGTTATTTGTGAACTGTGAGTTTTTTCAAGTATGTTTTAATTTCTTTTAATTGTCTTGTTGGTATTTTGAACAGAAGAGACAAAAACAGGAGTTATGTCTTACTCTTGATTATAGAGGAAAAGATCACAGTCATCAGTATTCAATATGATGGACTTTTCTTACATGGCCTTTATTATATTGAATTACTATCCTTTAAATCCTGATTTTTGGCTGTTTTATTATAAAAGTGCATTTTAAATGCTTGTATCAGTTTAGAAAAAAGATTATTTTCCCATTATATTGTGATAGAGTAATTCATTTCCATATGTTGAACCATCCTTAAATTCTACAAAAAAAGTTACATTCAGTCATAGTGTATAACACTTTTGTTATGGTATACAATTTTTTCTTGATGATTTTTATCATCATTATTGTTTGAGTATTCTTTTATTTTCTGTTCTCATTGTTTTTGTCTTGCTTTGATGTTATGATAATATTAGCCTTTCTGAATCTGAAAGTTTTCCCCATACTTTAGCTTTTGGTAGAGTGGAGAAATTTGATATTTATTCTGTAAGTGATACTATAAAATCATCAGCAGGGAAGCCACTTGGTTCTGAACTTTTCTTTCCTGAGAGATGTTCCATTACTGAATTAATTTCTAGTTTTAGGTCTGTTCAGATTTTGTATTTCCTCATGATTCAGTCCTTATATGTTGCTTATTTCCTGTAATTTGTCTATTTCATTTAGGTTGCTCAGTTCAGTCTAAGTTATGATGAATATATCTTTGAGTAATTAATAAACAATTATTGTTTTGCAGTTGTGAATGCTGGAAAGTTCAAGCTCAAGGCATTAGCTGATTTTGAGTCTTGTGAAGGGTTGCTGTATTTCAGTAGATAGTACACTTCAGTGCAGCCTCACGTAGAAGGCAAAACCACTCCCTTCAACCTTTTGTTTTGAAAATTCATATGTATTAATTGTACAAGGTGTTTTCTCTGTAGTCCTTCACACATGCATATATTAATCATATTAAACCCTTCTATTGCTCACTTTTTTCTTTGTTCTCTTTCAGTAAGTTACCTGGTCCTTTTCATATATAGACACAATGTATTTTGGTACTGTTCAGCTCTCATCATTCTTTTTCCCTTGTCCCTTCTCCTCAAATTCTCATGTTTGTGTGTGTGTGTGTGTGTGTGGTATGTATGTGTAGGTATTTCCATATTATAAATATGTATATATATTCTTCATATGAGAGAAAACATGGCAGCTTTCATCCTTCGGAATTTGGATTACGTTGGTTAACATGATGACTCTAGTACCATCCATTTTTCTGCAAACACAATTTCATCCTTCTTTGTGGCTGATTAATACTCCATTGTATATGTATACAACATTTTCTTCATGAAGGGCATGCATGCTGATTTTAACGTTTGGCCATTGTGAAGCGTGCTACAGTAAACATGGTTGTGCAAATAGTCTTTTTAGGTTTTTGAGGAACATCCATACTACTTTTTATAATGGCTGCATGAATTTACAGTTATGATACCCTGTTTGAATACTACTAGTATATTAAGTTTTCTTTTCTTTCTTTCTTTCTTTTTTTTTGTTAGTCATGGGTCTTTAACTCTGGGTCTGGTACTGTCCCTCAGCTATTCAGCTCAAGGTGAGTGCTCTACCACTAGAGCCACATCACCACTTCCAGTTTTCTGGTAGTTAATTGAAGATAAGAATCCCATGCTCTTTCCTGCTTGGGCTGGCTTTGAACCCAGATCCTCAGATCTCAGCCTCCTGAGTAGCTAGGATTACAGGCGCCCAGCTTTAAGGATTCTTTTTTACCTGCATCCTCCCCAGCATTTATTGTTTCTCTTCTCAATGCTAGCCAATCTGACTAGGTAAAATAAGCTGTCTCTTTTATATGGGTACAGATCCTATTTATGAGGCTTCTGGTCTATCTTCTTTTTTGTGGTTTTTAGTGTTATTATAAAAGTGATGTACCGAGCGATTAGACTTAAATAAGACAGGTAATAAGTGCTTTTGTTTTTGAGAAGTGTCACCGCTTTCCTTACTTCTTCCAGTTTTTCGCTCCCAACCTCTCCCCACAAGTTGTGTAGTTCATTTTCAACAGTGCCTAGTGAGTATCGTTGCTGCATTTCTTTACCCTTTGTCCCACCATTTCTGTGCTTCCCCATTCCCTTCCCAGAACAGATAAACATATATACATATATAAGACAAAATGTACAAAAAACCAAAA